TTAATATGCAGGTTTTTCGTAAATGTTTAGAAAAAGTGGCTTTTTAGAACCCAACGTTTGGGACGTTAAAATTCGTTAAAAAACGGTTGAATTTGGCGGGTCCCTATATTTCCTATAAAATGTTGTATCTAAGCCGCATATAGAGACTTTATTCATAGTCCTCGTGCCAGACAGTAGTTACATACCAGACTCCTCTATCAGACTTCGTTCCCGGTCCTTGTGCCGTACAGAACTTACATACCAGACTCTTCTCTCAGACTTCGTTCACGGTCCTCGTGCCAAACAGTAGTTACATTCAAGACTTCTCTCTCGGTTCTCACGTACACCAGACTTCGTTTCCGGTCATCGTGCCGGACAATAGTTACATACTAGACTTCGTTCTCGGTCGCCGTACCTAACAGTAGGTACAGTTCGTCAAAAATAGCTCTGTCTTTCAGTTTAAACTTGAGCGATGCGAAAAATAAGAGACTCAGAGACATTGGTATTCTTGACGAGCTTGTACATCTCGACCTCTCAAGAGCGTAAAAATATACGCGCTCAACTTAAACTTTCGTTCACATAGCGGAAAGTAAAAAGTTTTAGTTTAGTTAAATACGTTTCTATATAACTATCTTTTCTAACAATGCAACGTAAAATAAAGTGCCCTTAAATTTATCAAGTATTATTATTACCGTTTCGACTTTTCAGAAAATTGTTTCGACAAAGGATTATTTAATCCTAGTCTACATACTTGGAGCCAGCTCCAAGTCTGGCCCGCTACTTGTGTTGTAGAAAGGAGACAGTTCACAATAATGAGTTATTAAATTTAACTAATTTTTGTTACTTTACATTTTTTTTAGTCTTTAATATTTTAATGTATCGTTATAAAATCAGATTGGAATTCTTATATTTTTTTCTTAGACAAAATGTAATAATTATATTTTATGCTTCTGGGGATTTTTTAATACAAAATCCGCAGAAGCATAAAATCTATAAATTTTTTGGAAAAATATACAAAACGAAGAACGCTAGACATGTATAACCTATACCAAAAGAATAGTTGTAATATTTTCTACAAGACAATATTAATTTACAGGCTGGTTTATTCAAAATAATGAAAACATTTTATATTAAAAAATAGGGTATTATACCTTATATGGGTATATGTCAAAGATATTAAGTTATTTAAAAATTACAGTACACTGAAAATCGTTCACATGTCATTTACATTCTTAATACCTTAAAAACCTAATCCACAGCTTTTTAAATATTGCCATTTTTTCAATAAAAGTGTAAATATTTTGAAAATTATTAACTTTAAACCTACAAAATCTTATAAAAACTCTTTATATTTAAAAAAAAAGAGGTTAGTCTTTGTAAATGGGTATATTTATTTAAAAAAACCCTTAAAAGGACTACATCAATAAAACAAACGTTTTCGCACCACACAGTCCATCATCAGGTTTTAAAATCGAAAATGCTAGGTCACAATGCCTGAGCCACCAAAATACTAGGGTAAAAACACTTTAAATTACATTTAGTTATAAAAGATTGTACATTGTGTTGTAAAATAACTGTGATGTTCAGTATTAAATTAAATTTGACTAGAGGTAACACATGGCTGAATCGAGAACTCAAGTTCCCAGCTGTTCTCCGCGTGGAGAGGTTCTCTCTCACCGGCTCTGGTAACTCGATTCAGCCATGTGTTGCCTCTAGTCAAATTTAATTTAATACTGAACATCACAGTTATTTTACAACACAATGTACAATCTTTTATAACTAAATGTAATTTAAAGGGTTTTTACCCTAGTATTTTGGTGGCTCAGGCATTGTGACCTAGCATTTTCGATTTTAAAACCTGATGATGGACTGTGTGGTCCGAAAACGTTTGTTTTATTGATGTAGCCCTTTTAAGGGTTTTTTTTTAAATAAATATACCCATTTACAAAGACTAACCTCTTTTTGTGATACGTGGTATACAGCCAGCTACAGGAATTTTTTCCTTGGGGATTTTCTTTATATTTTAAAAGTGTAATTTAAAAATTATTTAATATATAGTCTTATTAAAAAAAAAACAAAACTTTGGTTAATTTCGATGTTCTGACTGACTCTGTATAATCGAAAACAATTTTAAATTATAAAAATATTTGCCATGTCTGTACATATTAGTTTTTTTAATATACTCCATAGTTTAGTTTAGTTTAGTTTAGTTTTTTACAAATTATTTTATAATAATTATTTTTACAAAATATTCGAATATAATCCGAATATAATAATTGTATATACAGATTCATTGGATAAAATATTATATACATGTTATTCGGTTGCCTTTTTTAATCTTATCTTGTGAATCCATAACAATTTTAATGATTGTAGTCATTTTTATCTTTTAAATAGTACAGCTTATTGCACCCACAATCTAAGCTTTCTAAATCAACGTGCAAGTAATGCTCAGCCAACATGCTACATTAAAACCTAAATGTAAACACCTTAGCCTAGCTAATTATATTAAAAGCATCTGATGTATTTATTAACATTAATATTTTAATTTAAACTTATATATAAATAAAATATAATTTATTTAAATTCTTTATTTATTAGTTTTGACAATTATTGCCTACCATCTTAGGTTAGTTATACTAAAAATGGATTACTTTTTTCAATTGATGACCAACAAACAACTAAATTAAATATAGTTCCATTCAACGTAATCAAGAGTGTAATAGAGATACTCTATTTGATTCAAACTCTTTAAAATATTTTTTATCCAGGGACATTATTTTGCCATTTATTTGGCCAATTTTGATAATTTTGGTGAATTTAAAATAATTTCTTATAACTGTGATCCTCTTCCAGCTACCAAAACAACAAACAGTTCCTGAAATATTTAATCTTTGTCACGGATAAAACATCCTTTATTGTTTCTTGTGTTAACTTATTACACAGTAGATACTTTTATATTTATTATTCTGCCGATCATTAATATTTTGAAATGTACCAGTGCATCACGAAGCATTCGAACACTTCTGCCTAATCGGCAACTTAAATTCACCGGGGCCTAAAAACATTGCTAGGAACTGCGTAAATTTTTACACTCTACCTGACGAACAGTGTCAATGCCACTCTTAGATTCTGCTACTTTTCATCACCATGGAAGGTAGCAAATACAATTATGTTCTTAAAAAGGACAAAACCAAGACCTATCTTAACTCTTACAGGCCGATTTCTCTACTAAATGTCCTGGCTAAGGTCTTTGAGAGGATCCTCAAGGAAAGACTCGTCGATCATCCCTACGTTTCAATTTGGCTTTCGAGAAGGTTATTCAGTTAACAGCTCCTTCCCTTCCTGCGCTCTCACTAGTTTCAAAGCCGACCAATTTTGAGGACCACAATTATGAAGCTTTGTGAACGATTCCATTAAAATGCAATCTTTTTCAAATTTTTCACGTTAAAACCTTAAAATATGTTCTTTCAGACGATTTTAATTAGGTTTCTAAATTGTTATAAACAAAGCTGCTATCAGTTTATAAAAAAGACACTAACTTCGTCATAAAGTGTCCTAGGTCAACTTTTTTTTTAATTTGTAAAAAAAGTTCAGGCTGTCAAAATATGAACAAATTAATTTTTTGCAGTCAATTTCTCCTCATTTTATTTATATTCATATAATAAATCTTCTTCTTTTATAATCTCTCCGTATATTCAATATACCTAATTAATTTTCTGACTTATAATGTTGCAAAACAATTTAATTTGGGATAAACAAATTAAATAAGTTTTAATCTCTTTGACCGATCAACTTGAAATTTTAATCCTATTTTAAGCACCACAAGACCCAACATTGTGTGTAATATAAAGTTTATAAGTTTATTTTAAAAAAGTTAATAACATTTATAAAAAACCGAAATTCTGCTACTTTCTAAGCAACAAATAAGGATAAGAACATTTAAAAAAAACGCCATTTTAAAGGTTTTTGTATGACATAAGTTTCTTTCCTTCTTAAATTTGTTTCAAACGCTTTACGTTTTGCTGATATACGAAAAAAGCGAAAATTTACCGTACAAAACCAAAAAATAGACTGGAGGAAACATATAGGTTCCTGTTATAGCAGTCCATACTACTCAAAACAACTGCCCGTTGCCTGGACTGACGACTGTCACGAAAGACGCTTATTTCCCTGAGCTAATGCTTAAAGAAAATATATATGTGGATGTTTGGAACAAGACTAACACTTTATCGACTAGATAGTTCAACGTAAGACCCAAAAGCTCGGTTCTGCTGATTAAAAAATCAAAGATATATTATTTATTTTTCAACATTTTATCTACTCTTCGTTCTCTCCTGATTATTACATACCTACAATAAACTGAGGTTATGGACTTACTGACTGACACTGAATTATACCTTAATCAACATAAAACATTGAATTAAAGAAATCGATACTATACTTTTTATATGTTATTTCTTCTTTCTTTACTTTAAACGTTTTTATTTAGTTTTTTGTTGTGTCTTAACTATTTATGTATCTTATTTTAATTATTCATTTTACGTCTCACCTGAAACCCACTGTCAAATGTGCCAATACAGAAATAAATATCTCACAATTTATTCTTCAAAAGAACCTGTATCGATTTCTTTGTGTAACAAATAAAACAACTAGACATAAAACATTCAAGCATTATATAGAAACGGTCACTCAATGGCATGGCGTTATTGGGGAGCGGTAAAGGTTTCAAATCAGTCATATTCGAAAGATTTTTTACATTTGGCCAATTATAGAGGTGTAAAAAGTATGGAATCGTAATTATTCATTTTTACTTAAAATATCAGATTCTATTCTCAAAATTTTTAGTACAATAATAAAATGTAGATGCTTTGTTATTATTTTCGGTGTTTACATTTCATAGTGCAATAATTGTTTTTACATCTCTTTGAAGTTATTAGATTTTAGAAATGATTGCGATTCCATATTTTTTAAAAATTATTAACCTTCCGCGTATGACTAAATAATTTTCTCTTCCTTACCTATATCGCTCGGAAACAACGTCGTGTCGTCAGTATAAGTATTCTCAACACTATCCATTCCGTATCCATACACTTCACCTAACATGGAACTAATATCGTCCATTAAAGACTCACCATGGATGACATCCGATGTGGAATGGTAAGTGTCAGTTTCTGGAGAATCGATGTGGCAAATGTGTCCGTTCATGTCTTCGCCTTCACTATCTTTGCGCGGTATAAATGATTTTTGGTCCAGTATCTCAGACGTAATGCTTACTTCCTCATTAGACATAGCCGACAAAATGCTACTGCATTCTTTTTCGTCATCGACTGCAGTAGCATTTCTTTCAGCGCAATCAACTACATCTGGCTTTGATTTCTGGTGCAAACATCTTTCTTCTCTTTCTTCCTTTTCTTTTTCTTCTTTGATTGTATTTTGTTCCATTTCCATTTTCATCAAAGTCGTTGCTGTTTCAACGAGTATTTTCTCTGTAGTGGGTTCGTTACTAGAAATAAAGAAAAATGGTAAATTGATTTAAGTTAAGTGTGTAGCCAACAACAAATAGTTATTTCAAACCAAGAAACGATCTTATAATTTAAAAGGGACTTTTCAGTGGTTACCTGTATACCATAGTTAATAAAAACTTACTATAAAGTAAAAACTTTTTTTGTAAAATGAAATAATATTTATTCAATTTTTTTAAAAATGATTCAAAATGGATTTATAAATTTTCAAAACATTTTCAATCCTATCGGATCATCATCAGTAAAAAACCGTCTTCTTCTTCTTCCTTCTAGTATGTAGGCTTTGAAGACTGTTTCTTCTTCAATATTAGCCTCCTAAATTGTTTAAATTATTGCATCATTTTTTTCTTGGTCTGTCAATACTTCATCGTCCATTTGGTGACCTATCTCGTGCTATTCGTACTATTCTATCCTCTACCAATCTACTGATGTGTTCGTTTCCTGTTTCCGTTTTGTAGCCCATCCATTTATGTCTTCTATATTGCATGCTCTTGTCATGTTTTCACTTCTCTTCCTATCCAACAGACTTCTCTCTGATATTCGTCGGACTATTTTCATCTCTCTTGTTTCTAGCAGTCGTCTCGTTTTAGATGTGTCAGATCTTGTCTCCGCCGTGTATGTTAATATAGGTCTAATTGCTGCTTTATAGATTCTTGTTTTTGTGTCTTGTCTTAGGTGTTTGTTCTTCCAGATTGTGTCATTAAGAGAACCCACCACTTCACTTGCTTTTCAGCTTTGTTGTCTTACTTCTTCTTCATCTCCGTAACTAGTTATATCTATTTCTAGATATCTAAACCTTACATCCTGTTTATTATTTTCCCATCAATTTCGATTTTACACCGTAGTGTTCATTTAAATGTTGTCATACATTTGGTTTTTTCTGCTGATATTATCAGTGAAAAACCTCTATAAAGTAATTGGAACTAGTCACATAATAAGGTTAGATAACACTTTAATTACATAATTAAATGAATAAACTTTGTAATAATTAAGATATTAAGTCGATGATAAGGGATTACATTTTTTGAGGTAACGCACAAATTCCTTGTTCGAAAAATACCATCCAATAAATCATAGCCATGAATTTTTCCTCTAGCAAGAACTTACTCTTCGTTTTCTACATTGGTTTCCTAGATTGCGACCACGTTACTATTATTTTCAGTGAGAACCTTTTGGAGATACTACTAATATATTTTATATTTCGTTGGCAGATTCGGACGCTTGGTTATGACTTCTTTTGTTACTTGGTCCTAAGAAGGTCTGTTTAAATTGTTGATTGGAGAGATATCTTATTATTGTGATGTGTTTTTGCCAGGAGATCCGGAGATTCTAGATTATGTGGCTGCCTATTGCGGCATTGTGTACTGAACGGTATTTAGGTATAGGAAATATTAATAAAAAATATTCAGTATTTTTAAGGACTTCAAACAGAACAAAAAACTAGGTGATTCATTTAAATAACAAAGTTCATTATAAAAGAAAGATATGCCAATAATGTAAATAAGATTGGCCATATTAGTAATCACAGTTGCTATTATCCAAAATAAAAGCCAAAATTTAAAAATCGACTTGTCTTGGCATTTCTTTCTAATATGTGGCATCTCAGAAACATTGAGGGCGTGCCCTTTTCATAGGCACAGTGTATATATTTTACAAATTAGGTACTTACTTTTGATGTTGAACCTGGCTTGCTCTTCGGCTATCTGCGAAACCTTCTGGTACGGGTAGTGTAATTAAATCTGTATCCTCTGCTCCAAAAGTGGAATCTCTTCGAACATCAGGCATTGGAGAAATATTGGCCAGTCTTGCCGTTAAAATAGAACTTGTCGGAGAAGGACAAGAACTTACATCAGTACTGCCACCTAAAACAACCAACAGGGTTCATACTTACAAAAACAATTTGAAGGTTCTTTAGATGTTATAAAAACTCTACAACTTAACATTAAAAATTAACAACTAAACGAGAGAACAACTTATAATCGAAGGCAAAGTCAATAGCAAAAGAGAACCAGGAAGAAGACGCAACTCTTGGCTTAAAAACCTACGGCAATGGACAAACATGACCTCCACAGAACTATTCAGGGCTGCTACAAATAAGATTAAATGGGCAAATGTAATGGCCAACGTCCTTAAGGATAAGGCACCGTAAGAAGAAGAAACGAGAGAAACGAAACAACAAAACACAAGAAAAGTTTTAAAAGCACTATTGCTCATTTAATTTTGACCGATAGCTTTATTTGAATGTTGGTTTAAGCTCTTTCGAAGGTCAAACCACACTAATTTTATCGATTGATTTCTATCAGTTGTAGAATGTCATAATTTTCACATGTGGCTTGTTGTCGCACATGTGTTTCTTTGGAATCAGGGAGGTGCGATTATTGAGAAATTAGTGAACAGAACGGGGACAGACCTTTTTTTAAAAAATGATTCATTTTTTCGTTTTCTTTAAAAACAAACAAACAAAAAAAGAAAAAAGAATGGGAATGAAGTTACTGTCTTGTAAGGTTTTTTTTATCTTATAAGTGGAAATAATAAAGCTGACATATTAGCAAAAACTGCAAGTGAGAATCCGTTGAGACATCCGTATGTGACATCATAACTACAGATTTAAAGTAATATTTTAAGAACAAAATCATGACGAAATGGCAAATAGATTGGAATTATTTAAAGTCTATATTAAGAACTATTAAACAAAGAGCTGCCATGGAAACTTTTTCCCAAGAGAGGAGACCAAGTAATCAGTGATCATATCCAGATTGCGACTTGGACATTGAATAATTTTATATTAATCAATGAACCTCCTCCGATGTGTTATGCGTGTGATAGTAAACTATCAGTGCAACATATTGTAATAGACTGTCCTCTTTAAGTACTAGAACGACAACTAAATTCTAAATTTTTTACGTGTCATAGGACTCAGACCAAATCTAGACCAAATCTAAAATTAATTTTTGGCTGCTATTTCACATTTCATATAAATACAATTCAATGTTAATAACCCTTTGTGGTTGAAGCGAATTGTAAATAAAAAAAAACACTTCCAGTGGAAACCACTACATTTTTATGATATAAGCTTATATTGGAAAAACTATACCTGATTCAATTGTTGGCATTGGTTTTAAGGAATCTCGCTTATTATTAGGCGTCGGTGAATTTACTTTATCCAGATCACTACTGAGGGATATTTTAACTGCAGGTATTGCTACAGATGATTGTCTTGTTTGTTCATCGACCACTTGTTCAGTGTGCTCGACAAGATTTCGGATTGCCCTTTTAAGGCTATTGGCTCGATGAATTAAAGCGTCTTTTTCACGTTCCATAAACCTAGAATATTATGCATAATTAATTATATAGCTAGATATACTGTTTGTATTGTTTTTTAATAAGTATTTATTTGGAAGTTAAAAAAAATACGTTGAAAGATGAAACAATTCCTTAACCATTAGACCAGTCCATTGTCTAATTTAACGTAGCCAGGACAGTTGTTTTCTTCTGACTCAGCATTTTTCTTAGATTTTGCCCTAACTGATTAATCGGAGTACGTGGTATTTAGGTCCTCCTACTCTTATTATATGACCGAAGCATTGAACATTTCTCATTTTGATGATGTTGATTAATTCTAGCTCTTTGGGCATGGTACCAAGCACATATTCTTTTGATATGTGTACTGTCCATAGGATTTTTAACATGCGTTAGTAACACCACAACTCGAACGCTTCCAAATTGTTAAGATTTTTTTTGTCGTCCAGGTTTTAAATTCATAGAACAAAGCGGACCAGACGTAGCACATCAATATTTTTAAAATGATATGCCAGAGATAAGGACAAGTACTCACCAGACTCCCAAAAACTAAAGTGTTTTTCCTGCCTTCTAAACTTCAAAACATAGCGGGTAATAAACTTTCGGATAAGTACTGGGTCCCTATCTCACCGTCAGACATTGTAGTAAGTTTCGATATTGTTTCACTCTTTACAAACATTCCTATAGACGAAACTCTAAACATTCTGGAGACCAAATATAATATACAGTAATGCCTTTTATCTTTCATTAAATACTTTGTCCAACACTTATTTCATCTTCCAAAATCAATTCTACAGATAAATAAATGGTGCCAAAATGAGCTTTCCACTACCTTCAGTAATTGCCAATATCTTTATGGGAGACTTCAAGAACACCCGAGCACTATCCACATCCATGCATAAACCCTAATATTGGCAACGATATGTTGACGATATATTCGTGATTTTTCTCCACGGCAGGACTTATTTAGAATCTTTTTAAACAAATTTGAATGATATACATTGTAGTATCATGATTACAATGGAGATGGAAACTGATTCATTCCTACCATTTCCAAGCTTTTCATCACTCTGTTTATCGAAAATCTAACCATACCAATCGTTACTTGCATGCTAACTCTCTTCATCCACCTTCACAAATTAATTCAATCATTAGTACCGTTGTCTCTACCGTAGATCAATACGCTTTTGCGATGATGCAAGTGGACCCGCTGAGCTCTCTAGTTCAAGACATCAAGACATCAATCTCCAACCAAATCTCAACACAAATACTCAGACCCTAATCATACGACAGCTTTTCTTCTTTACATCAAAGGTGACACTGATAAAATCGACAAAATTCTAAAATCAAGAGAAATAAAGACCATATTTACCCCAAACAAAAACTTTCATCTCTTCTCCGATCAATCAAAGACAACATTCCAAATAAACAACACGGAGTAGGCCAAACAATTTGTAGAGTCCAAAATAATATTTATGAAAATTCCATTTCTGTTCACAATTCCATTCAAATTCAGCTTCAAATCAATCATCTTCATACAGGTCATAAAATTGATTTTGAACTCTCTAGAACCATAATCCCCATCCGCTTCTATAAACCAAGAATTATCCGAGAAGCCATAGAAATTGAAAAAGGGCCATTGTCTCAATAAAAGAGACGACAGCGTCTGGTTACCTTTGACATGGAGAATCTTCATAAAGAAAATATTTTCTACTTCACACTCCATTCAAAATCCCACCGTCAGAAATATTCGGACCAACCACCACAACTCCAACTCATCACTCAATTGAGTATTGAGTGATAATATACAAAATTATTTTTATTTAATAAGTAACTAACAAGAAAAATAAACCATAATAATATATAATAAACGTAACAATTAATGTGATATTAAGGAATTAAGTCTAATGTAAATGTTCAACATATCCTCTTTCAACGTCTATACAAGTTTGTATTTGATATTCAAATGACCGAGCCAAATTTCTTAACATTTGTAAGTCAGTTTTATTAAAAGCTTGTCTTATTCTATTTTTCATATTATCTGGCGTTGTTGGAAGCTTCCGGTATACTAGGTCTTTCATATAGCCCTGCATGAACAAATCAATTTTGGAAAATTTCGGTGATCGCGGTGGCCAAACAGTTGGTCCTTCTCTGCCTTTTTCTACCGACACTAAATTGTCAGTTGTGCTTCTATTTTCCCTAAAGCCGCTTTGCTGATTAACTATTAGATTTTTTGATTCTAATAAGAATTGTAACCGTCTATTAAAAAATTTTTCTAGTAATTTACACAAGAAAGATGTTAAGGACATTGCCCTATAAGAACACATAAATAAGTTACAGTCCTTTGAAATGTGGTGTTACAGGAGGATGCTTAGAATGGCATGGACACAGAAAAAAACTAATACGGAAGTATTGCAAGAAATGGGCAAAGAATGCGAAATAATAAACACAATAAAAATAAAGAAAGTTACAATATCTGGGGCACGTAATAAGGGGAAAGCGATATGAACTGCTAAGGCTGATAATACAGGGAAAGCTAAGAGGAGGAAGGAGTATAGGAAGAAGGAGAGTATCTTGGTTGAAGAAATTAAGGGACTGGTAATGCAGTTATATAGAACTCTTTAGAACAGCAGTAGATAAAGTAAAAATAGTGATGATGATATCCAATCTCTGATTGGGAGACGACACTTAAAGAAGATGAAGAAAAGTAGATGTTTAGCAGCTAAAGGAAGATTAATTAAAAAACAAGTTTAAAATTCGTCTGGTCCAGGGCTAGAGTTGTTAAGTCATTGTAGTGCTTGTCGTTTAGTTCTTACATATTTATTTCAACATTTAGTGGACTGATGAAATCTGTAACTTTGACCTCTTTTTTTGAAGAGAATTGATTTTGTTGCTGTATGGAATGCCTTTAATCCTACGGATTTTATTTCAGATCTCTGACGCAGGAGTATTTTGGATTATTGTGGAAACATAATTGTGCCATAATTCACGTTTACTTTTCTTAATAACTTACCTTGGGTAGGCTCTATATTTTTTAAACGCTGTTATGTTTCCGGTGGATGATGTTTTTTTAATACAGTAAATGCATGCTTACTTTGTTTAAGTGCCTCTTCACATTGTTTGTTCCACCACGGTACTGAATGTTTACGTTTTGATTTTGCTGTTTTGCCTATAATATTTGTGGCTACCTCTGTTAACATTGAGGTAAAATTGTCTGTAACAACATTAATATTATCTCCTATTGTTCTAAAATTAGGTAGGTAGTCTTCAATATGTTTTTGGTAAGCTATCCAATTTGCATCTTGATTTGAAAAATTTATAATTGTTTTTGTGGAATTATTATTTCTTATTTTTATAGGCCAGTGGTCACTATCATAGGTATGGGTCAATACTTCCCAGTTCAAACTAGGAGCTAGGGAACTTTTACATATAGTCAGATCAATAGCAGAATGGTTGCCGGTAACAGCGTTAAACCGAGTTTTTTCTCCTGCATTTAATAGTACAAGTAATTTTAAGTTTTAATAACTAAGAAATTTTTCTATTTGTTCCCCTCTTTTGTCTGAGGAATAACATTCCCAGAAAATGTTGTGAGAGTAAAAGTCACCTAGAATAGAAGGTTTTGGTATTTGCTCGCTTAAATGTTCCAGGTCTTTTGTGACAAAATCCATATTTGATGGGATATAAACATTGCATACAAATAGCTGAGTTGGACATTGAACTGTAATTGCTATGGCTTCTAAAGCAGTGTGTAAAGGAACCTCTTTTGATTCTAGATTAGAATTAACATATTATATTGATACCCTACCACTTGCTTGTAGTTTTTGTATCAGATTTAGTGGCTTTTAACTTTTTTGTTGATATTGCTTTTGGTTTTATAAAATCTATTTCTGTGTTTTCTGCCGTTGGTGTACCAAGTGGTGTCGATATTTCAGAATGAGAACGTTTCTGTATGGTAATATCTGTATGTAGTTTTTGGGAGTCCATTATGTCACAAGTGTTTTCCGTTTAATTCTAAACAGAGAGATTTTTGCTTTTAGTTATCGCATTGGAGAAAGGAGATTCTTGATCGGTTTGGGATGTAAGTACGGATCTATTTGGCTAAATGGCCATATTGGTACATGTTAAAGCTAGGAAGAAAGAAGAAATCCTGGCTCCGAAACATCAGAGATTGGACTCACACAACAGGAAATGACTTAATCCATCAAGCCCAGAACAGAGAGAAATTTGCCATATTGATCACCAACCTCAATATAGAAGGCACTTAGGAGGAGGAGGAAGCTATATGTCCAGATTGATGACAAATATAGCAGGTTAGTCCATCAGAAAGTAATATTCGGTAAGATGTATTATCGAAGTCAACGAGAATTGATTCAGGAATCCAGAATTCAGAACCTATCTACGGAAGCCTAGAAAGTGACAATATTGAGGGTCTTGGATTCCCGCTCTTAAAAAAGACATCGGTGAAAGTGGATGAAAACCCTTCTCAGCAAGATATTTGTTGATGATGTGATGAGGAACAGTCGGACAAACATTGGACAACAATAACCTATTACCAGCAGTGACTAATCTTTTCGCTCTAATGACATTATCTCCTAGTTTTAGTCCTCCGTGATCTCTTAAAAAGGTGTCAACAACTGCTGGAGAGGTAAATACAGATTCTGCTATTAGAAATTCTTGATGAAAAGAGTACATTTTTGAAATGTACGAGTGATCCTACTGCTGTAATGTAGTCTTCTAGGTTTAGTGTGTCTACTGCTGGGATAATAATGGCTTGTTCCTTGAAAGGGAATGTAGCTGCTTTTTGTTGAGTAATTGTATAGTAAGATGGTGTTTGTTGATCGGATAACATTGCAAGACCCATGTAGTCAGAATTACCGACCATCGGATAAAATTGTTAAGTACTTTTTATTTTAATTTTCTTGTTACGTTTCATTATATTATAATTCGGTTGGTACGACTCTATGTTAATTATATAGTCTTTATCTTATCAAATATATGCCAAAAAACAAGTTGTTATTAAACACTTTTTAATTTACAAAACTGTATGACTGGATTTAAATTCGTAATTATGTAAGATTTTGATGAAACCGTATATATTTTGATAAAAGTACTTAAAGATAATTAAATCACCACTAATAACTAAACTACTGATTATGTTTCTTATAATTAATTTAAATATTTACTACAGAAAAACGAAGAAAAACTTCGAGACTAAGTTTTAGGTGTACCTAATCAACTTATTTCAGGACCGCACTCATCTAGTTATTAATTACCCTGTAGAATTTCACATATTTTCCAAGTATGGAAAATATCATTGCCTACATTTTTTCTAAATAAGTTTTTGGATATTCTATACCATAATAGACCTATCGACCGATGTCGCACTAAAAACAACATTGCGGAAAAATATAAATAAAACAACATTAAAAAAAATTACCTAGAAGTTCTTCTATGTTTTCTAAAGTTAAAATTACTTAGGTCTTTTTCGACCTTATCCGTTTTTATTTTGTCGTAAGAAATTTCGCTGTCGGTATCTTCAGTTCCTCTACTTGTTCCTTGTGAATCGTCGAATGATTGAGTTATATTCGTTGCGTCTATTTGTTCGCTTGTTAGTGTCTTTAATAATAACTCTAGCTTTTGTTGTAAAATATCACACTTTTTGGCTAGTTGGTCATCACCTAAAAAAGTTAAAAGCAAAAAATACATTATTATAAAATTATTTAATTTTTTGTATGACCATAATAATTAGTTATGTTTTTTTTTCTTTTTTGGAATACCATAAGAATTCGTCTTATTATCCTTCTGTGTGTCATAAAATTGCATCGAAACATATTTTTCTACAGGTAATAAACTGCTTAAGTAGCAGATTGCATTGAAATATAGTATTGGGTATATTAGGAGCCACAAATTTGCATTATCATATGTCAAGATTAGAAGGGGTTGAAAGCGTTAGCAAAATTATTGCGGTTAGTTGCTGCCAATCATAAATTTATTTCGCATAAGCGCCAAGAGTATTCAAACATATTTGAATTTAAATTCAAAGTAATTACCTTGCGTAAGTGAACTTTCCAGCAGTTGTGAAGCAAAATCTTTAACCGTCTCACAGAGACGTTTAGCGGAATTCAAGATAACGGAAGTTTCGTCAGATTGGAGAATATTCTGCAGATGGGTGACCAGTGAGTCCTCGTACTGGCTAATTTGGCTGTGTAATTGACCTTCGGGTATACCAGGGGTTAAGGATAGTTTAGGCATTGCTATTGTTCTTTCAAAAGCCATGATGCTCCACCTAAAAATAAATTAAATTTTATTCACGTTAAGAAAAACCTCAGTTTTAACACAGTAAAATACCTTTTTTTTATTTATTTTTTTTAAGTTTTTGAGTGTTTTAACAGAGGCTGTTTATTTTCTTTCATATTATGTTAAAAATAACAAATTAAATAAAATAAGTAGGCCGAGAAACAAGTACATTTATTTTGAAAATTAGTTTTTTGTCACCTTGTATAATATAATATGATATTATCATATAATTTACAACACACTATTCGCTCCGTGCGTGACCATGGTAGGGGTACATTGAAACGATGCCAGCGTGCGTAGCGGCGAAATATGACAAAATTGGAATACTTATGGACAAAATATTTTTACGCATAAATTTTATCAAAAATGTGTGGAACTGCATGTTGCGTATTTAATTGTGTTAATAATAGCAAAAACAATGAGTGTAGTTTTTATAGGTTCCGAAAGATTACATATAAATTAGAGAAAAGAAAAATGAATTCGTGCTATTAATATGAAAAAGTAAATATGACATAATTTCATTTTTATGCAATTGAAATAGGAAACATTTAAATAATTTACCTTGAATGATATTTCATAAGGCTTCAAGCTAACTGCAGATGACTTTAGCTTTTATATCATAACTTTTACTATTATTGTTTTTAATTATATGCTCTTTTGCGTGAAAAACTTGATTTGCCAGTACTAGATTTTTCCCTTTATTTTCCGTTTGGAGTTGAAAAAATATATTATGATGAATTTTGAGAAACCGAGTTTTTAATACTACATTTATTTTGTACATAAACTGAAAAAATATAGTTAAAAACTAATTTATTAATAATTGTCAATTTCGCATTTATTTAACAATGTCAAAGATATGTCATATGTTTAACCTGAAAATTGGGACTCCAAAATTGTCAGATGAAGACGGTAGGTGTCGCGTCAGTCACGCACGGAGCGAATAATATTGTATATTATTACACAAAAGCAAAAATTTTTCACAGCACAGCAAAAATTTTGAAAAAGGTTACGATTTGATACTCTTTACTATGGAAATATTCATGATTTAGATTGTATTCATGACAAAAAAGATTTTATTTTCATATCATATAAATAAATAAATAATTGATGGATTCGACCGTTACTTGATGGACATTCATTTTATGTAACAACAAAACACTGAAAACTTTGTTTTCAATACTTCTACAAAATTTATTATAATATTTAATCACTACATCTGTTTCGGCTGATTGTCTTTCTCAAGTGATCTATTTTTGGAATGCGTTTACACTTTATAAACTTGAAATAGGTTAAGGATGGGAGAACTGTTTGTCCCAAGTTGGTCATTCAGAATTATATAATAATTCTATATGACCAACTTGAGACAAATTTTACTTATGGGTATTGAGTACTTATTTACTTGGTAAAAAGAAAACAGGTCACAAAAATCGTATTATTCTAAACCTCTCCAAGAATATTTTTCAGATACGAACCTTTCCTAATGTCTCACAGAAACTTCATTTTAATTCATTTCCTATCCATTTCTAATAGTTCCTACTTAATCAGTCAAGAAAACAGTTTTAAAACCTAGAATGTGTTGCCTGTGTGAGTCCATTTCAAATAGGTAAAAAGAAATAAAATAACACTTACTCACAATCAATTTAATTTTACCACCAAAACGACCGGTTTCGCTTACTACAATTTGCTAAGCATCTTCAGGTCCAATGGTACCAGGTAAATTTAATGCTCAACTTACTAATGTGGGTTTTTGTAATTTCAGCAATTAATTTACCTGTTACCGTTAGACCTGAAGATGCTTAGTAAATTGTAGTAAGCGAAACCGGTCGTTTTGGTGGTAAAATTAAATTGATTGTAAGTCTTATTTTATTTCTTTTTACCTATTAGTTTCAGAACCATTTCATAAACTTTGTTTTTTATTATGTTGTATGTTGAAATATTGTTTTTTATGTAAACCAAAGTTTTTAATGTTTAGTATAAAACATAAATGCCAAACATGCCAAAAGAAAATAGTTCTAGAATAGTTACCTGTCAAGCATTTTTGTACTGGCTTTCTCATATTTTTCCAGTAACTGCGGTAGGTGCGTATCGTCGTCACAAGAAGAACCCCAGCCTAGCACTCGGGCTAAGTCGTTGCCTGTTCCTAGGGGTAATACTGCTACTTGGCACTGTTTCTGAAAAAAAAAAATGTATTATTAAACTCTTTTTGATAACTTTTAATAAAATTGTATGGTAATTATATATATTTCATTCAAAAATTTCTATTATTAACTATTGTAATTAAATAAGTATACGCTTATACGTATTTCATCCTAAAAGGAATCGACGGAGCGGTTATTTACAAACGCTCTGAACGTGAAAACAACCTTTCTTGTCTTAGTAGAAGCAACACTAAAATGGCTTCGAAATGGACGCAATAGCGACATCTGATCATAAATCCGGAAACTAATTTTCGAAACCGAATTTTAGATTTCTGCTTTAATCTGTGGCACCTAAGACAGGTAAGATTGTTCTCAAGTTCAGAGCGTTTGTAAATAGCCGCTCCGAGATTCTTTTTAGGATGAAATACGCATACGCGGGTATATAGACGCATTGTACGTGAAATCAAATTTTAACTGTCTTTCCTTTTATCTCGGTATATTCTTTATGAGTACTAGAAACCAATTCGCTAAGGATTTTAGCTTAGTTGAGGAGATATGTTGTAGAATGCATGTAGAAGATTTCTCATGTCTCTAATTACATCTTTATTGACGTCTATTTTACCTTGCAATTCTTAGAAGGCACAGATTAAAGCAGAAATCTGAATTTGGTTTCGAAAATTAGTTTCCGTAAATATTACCTATTCACATCCAGATGTCAGTAAAGTGAGTCTTTGCAATTCAGTAATTCCCTTGTTACATGGGGTGCTTATTACATCATTGCGAGTTTCTTATTGAAAGGTATAACCTGTTAGTTTTTAAAATAATTTTTCTGTAAATAATAAGTTGTTTAAAATTTTGCTGATTCCAAGTTGCAGTATAATAAGCAGCACAGTTTTCGAATTAAAAGATTTCAAGTGAGTGTTGTTAAGTTTTATTTTTTATTAACAGAGGCTTTTTACATCTCAATATCGTAAGTCTAATTTTTTTATATCTTTTTTTAGATATTATTGGTTCCCATTGAAAAAAAATATCAAAAACAATCAATTTCGTTGAAAACAAAAATTGCAATTTTAGATCGCTTAGGACAAAAAGAAGGATCTACGGCAATTGGACAACATTTTAATTTAGACAAATCAACTGTAAGAGCAATTAAGAAGAATGAAATTCTTATAAAAAAATCTATAATTTCTAAATTTTCATCTTATTCAAGGGATCTAATATTAGATAGAATAGAAAGAGTCATCGCAATTTGGATTGAAGAACTTATTCAAAGAAGAATTCCTATAACTTATTTAATTCAGGAAAAAGATCTTCAGTTTAATGAGTCAATGAAACAGCGAGAGTCACCAACTTCCACTTTCCAAGCTGGTAAAAAATTTTCAGCTAGCAAAGGATGGCTGAAAATGAGGGTGTTCTGTTGAGAATGAAAAAAGAACAGGACCTGTTAACCACATTAAAAACAGCCAAAATTAAATACATCGGTCACATCATGAGGAACAGCGAAAGATATGGACTGCTGCAACTAATCTTGCAGGGAAAAGTAGAAGGAAAACGGGGACCAGGAAGGCGAAGGATTTCCTGGCTGAAAAATCTACGAACGTGGTTCAACACAACAATCACAAATCTTTTTAGAGCAGCAGTGTGCAAAGTGCAGATTGCCATGATGGTCGCCAACATCCGAAACGGATAGGCACTACAAGAAGAAGAAAGGATGGCTAATCGAATTTATAAAAAGAAATAAATTTCATAATATCATGATCACAGGAGTGAGCGCTACAGAAGATAAAGCAGCAGCAAAAATATTTCCACAGGAGCTAGCAAAAATTATTGAAGATGGACTATTGTTTCGATCAAGTATTTAATGCCAATAAAACGGGACTGAATTGGAACCTAACCGTATTTACATCGCAAAGGATGAAAAAAGTGCAAGTGGACGTAAAGCAAGTAAAGATCGAGTAAAATTATTACATACTTTGTAGCAATACGAGTACATCAGGAGATAGGATGTTGAAACCGCTCTTAATAAATATAGCTCTTAGACTACGTGCTTTAAAAGGCAAATATTTACTTAACAAGTAAAACAAGAAAAAGCAGTTGATGTTAGAATATTTATAGACAAACATTATGATTCAAACTGAAAGAGTATTGAAAAATTGGGCTATTTTAAACACGTTTTAGGACAAGACAATTTTTAAAATACATCCACGTAGTAGCAAACACAGTTCATAAATAAATAGTTTACTTTCAACAACAATATTAGTAAAATAAACAGTTTTTCTGTTAATCGACACGATATTAATAAATATAGTCACAAAGACAAATAGAAATATAAACCACATTTGAGAAGCTCGCGTGCAAAAGTTTTTTCAGGAGATGAACAGTTTCAATTTAATGGGGTTTACTAACCGAATGACGTATATTTTTTTACAAAAAAAGTAAACAACTGGGCGTTACCGGTTTTGCACACAAAATGACACACTGTGAGCGAAAAAAATTAAATAAATAAAACAAGTTAGTTAAAGTAATATTTGCAAAAATAGAACAAACAAATTTAAATATGAATTGCAGTCTCTTCGTTCAGGCAATCACATAGCTTGTCTTCATCTTCTTGGGTTTCATTATTTTACGAAATATCTACGGGTTCTTCTCCGTTACGGTCTAATAAATTTTTTACCACAAAAGGTCTTCCCTGTTTCGCCAATCTTCACCAAAATGCTCTTTCATCAAATGATCCAAACTTTTTTTCTTCTTATCTGGTATTGAATTGCTCAATGTTAACCTACTTAGCCCTATATTTTCTGATTTTCCCTTCTTGACAAGCGACTCCCAAGTTGTGTCACCTGTTGCTGTGAACCAATAAAATTGAAACTTTTTTACTTTAATAGTAGTTTCATTATTTTTATTCACAAATTTTTTTAAGTGGATTTTTTTGCATTCAGAAATTCCATTTATTTTTTATACACTTTTTCCAGTTTTTTAACATCATACTTTTGCCAGTCAAAACCAAGTGTTTTTACCGAACCTACTTTCGAATACATTTCTATGTATTTTTCTTTAGATATTACTGGATGCCTTTTCAAGATTTTCTCAACTCTACCGAATAATCGGTCCGCAGGTAGAAAGCTATGTCCTTGGACTGGAAATGTTATTATTATTTCTGTCAAATTATCTGGGGACTGATTTTTAAGCTAATATATTAGGGTGTGAATGATATGAGAATTCTTATTCTGTCCTCCACATCCATCGCAGAATGGTCTGAGAAGATGTACTTCTTCATAATTCAAACTTTGAAGATGATGAAATAAGGCAGAACCAATTTGAATGGCCCCTCTTTCAGCCAAATCTTTGGTCCAGACATAGAATATCAGATTACGAGACGTCATAGGAACGCAGCAACAAGCATACCAACTAATTTGATGAGAATAAAACGCATCCCCGATTGGTGTTCGGGATAACGGTTGAACTTGCTGAAGGTCGAAACAAAAGGTCATGCTATTATCAGGTTTTTCTTGGGCGAGTTCATAGAAAGTGTTTGCCCTTTTTCTATGTACGCGGTACTCCATAATGAGGTTTTGTCTTCGCTGTAGGTCTCATGTGTGTATTAATTGCCCTTTTAACCTGGTGCACTTGGAACAAACATCTGACACAGGGGATGAGAAGCCGACATTAAAATGTCAGCTTGACATGATATTCAGAGAAAATACTTGATCTTCAGAATTACATTGCCTGTTATACATTTTATGCAGTTTGCCACAGAAAGAGTTGCAGAAAGATATATGTTTCGATTTATTTCTATTGTAGTAGCTTTTTTTACCACGCAAAGAATCAATAAATTGTCGTACTTTTTTTAATGCAGTCTTTTTGGATACTTCCCTTTTTCTTCTTCGGAACACCTCCTTCCTCCAAAACCTTTGTAACAGTGACAAGTCTGTGTTTAGTTACGGCAAAAACAGCAGAGAAAAAAGTTTTGCAAACCCTAACCACATTTTTATTAGACATTAACATGTAACAAACTGTTGCGTTCCTTTCTTTCATTTCTTTATTTTGTCTGCGTCGTTTAACTGGCACAACAGACTTATATTTACATAAAAACATATCCTGGCGGATTTTCTCTTCGTTTTTATAAAACTGTTTTCTAAGACTTATAATATCTTGCGTACTCACTTTGCAGCATTCATATGTTTTATGAGTAGCAATTTTTCAACACCTTATAGTAATATCCTATGTGGTCGGCAAAATAATCGTTACAGTCGACCCGATATGAATAAATACGAATATTTACAAAAAGGAATAGAAATATGGACCAGTTTTTGTAAAGCTTTTGTATATATTTCTTTCAGATATTCAAAGTAATTTATCATGCAGCTTATTTCTTTTAATTTCTGGAAACTGTTTTATTTTTGTCTTGGTTTTATGTAATTTTAGAAGGCCAAGGACGTATTCCTACTTTTTCCAGGCATGTAATGTCTTTTTCCGCAAATCGCCAGGAAATTTTGACATTCCTGTCAAAATTTCTTGAAGAAAAAGTCAGGACTTCCTTACTGTAAGGAAATGTCATTTCCTTACTGTAAGGAAGACAAAACACATTGCTTATAAGGAATTAATTTATATTTGAAAACATCAAGTCATTGCTGAATACAGTTTTAAGATCAATTTGTTATATTTACAGTAATTTGACAGTTAGTACAATTATTAAACATTGGAGGAACACTCTTAGAACTATGAGAAACATTTTAGACAACATGCAGGGTGGAAGTGTCATTTTGTTGAATATTTTGTACTGTGAAAATTTTATTTGCCACCTCAACCTTATTGTTAAGCGATTCTTCGATATATCCTTCAGCAACGTTTGATGACTTCCATCCGCCATGCCTCTTTAAACTAGTTATGTCGGCACCAGAGTCAACCAATATTGTTGCAGAAGACCGACGAAAGCAGTGACCAGTATATTCTGTCGGATTTAAGAAGTTCAAATAAGTAGCAATTATTTTGGGCATTTTTCTAAATTGATGAATTCCTACCACTTGTCTACA